GTTCTTTATTGAATAAATAGAAAAATATAAAATATTTGATATTACAATCTAAGAAGAGACTCTTAATACTTGGTGATATTATTAGAGGTAGGAACAATTTCTATAGGAGTTATAAATATTTTATTTAAAGAAGGTTATGAAGGCCTCGATAATAATCAAATAATAGAGAAGTCTTCTCACCTTGAAATGTGACATTATTAATGGCTAAAAAGACCTATTAACTATCTTCAAAGAGAATAATAATTAGAATATGTGGCAAATATAATTTGTTGGATTTTGAATTTAATCAATATATGATCACTGCTCCTCATGGAATTCATCCTTAGAAGAGAGATAATATCACAAATATATATTTATTCTAATAATTATCTAGATAATATGATTATATAGAAATAAATAAAAATAGATTAATTTCATAATAACTTCTAGAAAAGCTTTTTAACACCTTTATAAACAAGATTTTATCTTTATATATGTTTATAGGTAATTATATGTTGAAAATTTGGCCAATAACTTAGTCAAGTGTCACATGTGTTGGTAGCTTGTGGTACAAGCTAAAGATGTGGCATACATATAAGAAACTTGCCTTACAAGTTAAAACACATGTCTTACAAATTGAACATATATTGAAGATCCTATAGAACATTGCCATATAACTTTTAGGTAGATAATATATACAGAGGCAAGAATGAAGCCTTCTTCACTCTTGTGAATGTCTTTCTAGTCGTTAGTCTTGTTTTAAGACTTTTTAATCTTCTTATCTTTGGTAATAGCCATGCTAATTCAATATATCACCATATTTGAGTGATTTCTTAGTCTTTTTGAGTAATATAAGAGTATATTGAGATTTTAATTTTTAAGATTCATCTCTTTGATACTATGCCAAATGGAAATATTACAAATACTAGTATTGTTGTAGTATTGTTAGTCTAAGAAGTTATGCACAAGTCCCAAATGATGACCATGTTATTGGCTCCATATAAACTTCAAATAACAATTTCAACATTGATTCAAAATATAGAATATATGTACATCAATTATATTATTAATGTACATATTCAAAGAAAGAAGAATAAGATCTTAAACTTTGGTGGTATAATATTTATCCAAATACACAGCTATAATTAAAGTACAAATCAATCTAAAAAATTAGACAATATATACTTCAACGTCTTAAATCTAAGATGAGATAACATCCTAATAGTTGTGAAAAATATGAATTAGATTTCTTAGAACACACAATATACTCTTATCTACAACAACCTTGTGTAAGAAAGGTTGCAAGTTCAATTCAAATAGAATTATCATTAATTGAATCTTTTTATTGAAATATATACTAATTTATAAAAAAAATCAAAGATAAGACATATTTCATGTTTTATGATATCAATGAGTTAATATTGATATCAAATATAAGTGACTCTAATCAAAAATTTATTAAATGGAAAAATTCTTAAATCAAAAGTTGGTACATACTTTAAGGCTGAAGGCATCCAATATATAGTAAATCTTTCATACACATATGAAATTATTAAAATGACTAAGTATATAATATAAACTATCTTTGAAGAAGTATAAATATTTATAAATAATACAAAGCTAAATTGTCAATATTAAATGTTGGTAAATTATTTTATAATATGGATCCACAACCATGTGTCATTTACAAGGCTTGACATTATAATAGCATACCAAGTAATTTTTGGTGAAAAACCATCACTTTTATATATTTTTGATTTCACTTATCTTATTTAGTATCATAAGTCAAAATAAAAGTATTTGAAGCTTGATTCCAAAGAACAAAAAATATTTTTTTTTTGAATACTTAGAAATAATAAAAAGAGAAGAAATTTTTTATTACAAAATTAAAAAAACAAAATACCTTCAAGAGAGACATGATTTTTTTAATGATAACATGGAAAGAATTCTTATCAAAGCCTCACTATCAATTAAAGAAAAGAAAGCTAAAAAGACTATACTATAAAATAGTAGTTTTAGTAACAAGGCTAAAACATCAATAACAAGACTCAAAATCCGAGATTCACTCAAAATTGGACCATAGAAAACTCAGCACAAATGCAAACTTAGGCATGACATAAGTAATAAAAGACAAAGAATATTAGCAACACATGTATAAGGATGAACCTTTTTAAGAGCCATAATTACAATGCTACAATAAAAATGGCATTCATCCAATAAACATCAAGCAATAGAGGTATAGACAACAAATTCCATGATAAAAAGATGATCAATTCAAATAGAAAGTTTTTATTTTCTCAATCAAACTAATAAATATTATTGATATTAATCAACACATTAAGACTCACTTAAAGATAATTTAACAAATGATGAGTTCATTTTTTAGCAAAGAATAGAAGTATGCAATAGATGAGGAACTTGACTCATTGAAATAACATGGCACATGTGAGTTTATTGCCTTATTTTATGACTAAAAATCAATTAAATCAAAATAATTTTTTTAAAGAAGTTTATTAATAATGGATCTGTAAACCAATATAAGTATGTATGGTTACCAAAAAAAAGCTAATTACATAGTAAAAGCATTAATTACCACAAGACGTTCATGCTTACAACCTGCCTTGCAATAAATAACATATTTATTGTTATAGTCATCATATTTAAATAAGATATATGGTAAGTGGATGTTATCTTAGCTTATCTGAATAATAAATTGAAAGAAAAGATAAATTACTTTAACATTGTAAAGAATATGGACATTCCATTAAAGCACAAAGACAAGATATTATACTTATTATATACAAGCAATTGCTTACATGTAATATATGACAATGACTTAATGCTTGCACTCATTATTTATATTGATGCTCTTTTAATTAGAGGGAAGAATTTTGAGATCTTTGTAATAGATGACAACGAACTGTAAGAATGGTATAAGATAAAAGACCTTAATAAGCTCAATCACTTTCTAGCAATAAATTTTTTATAAGAAAAAGAAGTTGACATTAAACATGTGACACAAATAAAATTCATTACTAAAAAATTAAAATAATTTTAAATAGAAAATGCAAAGCCTATGGAAACTCCAATAAAAAAAGATATTTTTATCAAATATCAAAACAATTAACTAATAGGTATAGATGGAGTAAATTTTTTACCAAAGAACTATAGATTCTTTGTTATATCTTATAAGCAACTTCATGTATAATATTTCTTTTTTTTTGCCAATATTTTGTTATTGTGTAGAGCTTAATTAATATCTAAGATAATTAAGGAAAGAAAGGGAGATTAGAGGCAATGGCAACTTCTTGTGTGTCAAATCAATGAGCAAGATCAAAGAGAAGCATCTTTGTAAGGATTTTCAAGAACAAACTCTTTGGAAGAAAATTTTCATTTAGACTTTGTATATACCATGATTTTTCTTTTGTAACTATGATGTTCTATATAGGATCCTAGTCTTGCAAATTATTAGTATATTTTTTTTTATTTGTTTTTTCAACTTCTGCTTCTACATCTTTTTCATTCTATTGGATATGTCAATTTCTAACAAATTTTGCTTGATACATAATGCATTTCAGACAAGCAAGGAGTCAAGAATATTTTTTAGTATTTACAATGAACAAAAAACTTGATAATTTAATATAGAAAAGATAATACAACCTTAAATTGTTGGGTTACACCAATGCAAATTGAAGAAGATACAAGGTGATCCATTACTTTGTTGGGAGGAGGGTAGGGAGGGGAGACATTGTATTCAGAATGCAACGCATAGTGATCATGTGGTTTGGCAAGAAACAATCCACTATCTTGATCTCATTGAAGGAAGCAAAATATGTTGTTGCAACCATTGCCCTGAAGAAAGCTTTGTGGCTTTGAAAGGTGCTCAAAGAATATTGTCTAGAGCAATCAGATACAATGCTCATTCACAAGGATAATCAATCATGTATTACAATTATCAAAAACTTTGTGGAAGAGAAGTGTTAAAACCATTATGGATGTATCCCATTGTGGGACTCCAGACTGCCTTAACCTCATGTCAATCCACTCCAATGATGTGACATACTCTTGCCAAGAATATCCAACATGACAGAGTTGGGTCCACTATACAATATCATGTTGTTAATATATAATTATTGCTTCTCAATACAAATCTTCAATATATTTTATCTCCATTATAATCACATTTACTTGTGTATAAAGATGTATTTTCCTTATAATAATAAACTTTTGCATGTCCATCATGGCTCAATCACCTCATTCTTATTAATGCCTCAAAACATCCAGAAAACACTAATCCTTCTTTTTTCAACACACCTTTGAATCATTATTAACACTCTTATTCAGATTGATAAATATCCACAACACACTACAAACAAAATCTTCATTAGCAAGTTCAGACTCACATCATACATCAATTTGACTTCCAATACAATCTTCACAATAATGTTTTTGAAAAGTGTTGAGATCTTAACTCTTGTTTCTCATGTCAAGAAGAAAAACATTAAATTAATTTAAAAAAAAAAAAAAAAAAAAAAAAAACACAGAAACATGGGAACCACAGAGTGGGAAAGGGAAGGGAAGCACAGTAAGGAGCAGAATCGGCGGTCACAAATGGAGGCCACACACTCGAGAAGAGAAAAGGGGGGGGGGTTTGGGGAGAGAGCCAGCCTTGACCAAATCCTCACAGCGGACTTTTCCCACATGGCCCCTAATGCAAAGGAGGAAGAATCATACGGAAAAAGGAGGAGGACAGGAAGAACACAGAGGAAGTGGGGGCGAGGGAGGTTTTACACTTTCCAGATCACACACACTTCCTCACAAACTCCCATACATACTGATGGACAGACAGACAGAGACATACACAGATCGTCGATGCGGATCACGCTTCCCTCCCAAACCGGAAGCGTGAACCCAGTCCAGTCCAGTCCAGTCCCAGTCCAATCCTGTGCACCCCAACCCACATCCACCCCCACCCAAGTGGAAGGAGCCCACGCTTCCCATAAGTCCCCCAACCCGACCTCACGCTAGCACTCAAGGCACCTGCAGCAGCAACAACAGCTGCTTCGTTGCCTGAGTGCCTGCGGCGTTGCTGGATCTCCCACTTGGCTGCATTCGCCCCCGCCTCCCTCGCTGCCTCGCTGCCTGCCTGCGTGTCTGGTTGGATTCGGTGGTTAACTAGTACCTACCTACCTACCTACCTCTCCCTCCCTCTCTCTCTTCTTCCCCCTTGAGAGCGGATTCATCTTCTTGTCGATGTGCGTCGTGTTTAGGGATTGAGTGGATTGGGTTCGCAGGGATGGAATCGCAGCGGGTGAAGAAGAAGAACCGGGTTCCGATCCGGGCGCTCATTCAGGTTGCTAGCGTTGCCGCCGGGGTGCAATTTGGGTGGGCGCTGCAGCTGTCGTTGTTGACGCCGTATGTGCAGGAGCTTGGAATCCCGCACGCATGGGCGAGTTTCATCTGGCTTTGTGGGCCGATCAGTGGCATGGTCGTGCAACCGATTGTTGGGCATTACAGTGATAGCTGCACGAGTAGCTATGGGAGACGGCGGCCGTTCATTCTCGGTGGTGCCATCTTGGTGGTGGTCGCAGTGCTTATCATTGCGTTCTCGGCTGATCTCGGGTACCTCCTCGGTGACGAGATTCTTGGGGCAACGCGCCCACGGGCGGTGCTCGTTTTCGTTTTCGGATTCTGGGTTCTCGACATGGCAAACAATACCCTTCAGGGCCCCTGCAGAGCGTTGCTGGCGGATTTCACAGGGAAGGACCAGAAGCGGAATCGTCGAGCGAACGCTTTCTTCTCTCTGTTCATGGCCTTAGGAAACATTTTGGGGTTTGCGACGGGAGCGTATGATGGTTGGTACAAGATTTTTGCGTTCACGCACACCAAGGCGTGTGACATTGCCTGCGCTAACCTCAAGTCCGCGTTTCTGTTGGGTGTGATTCTCTTGTCTTTCACCACTTTCTTGAGCGTGACTGCAGCCAGTGAGGTTCCGTACGATCCTAAGAATGCAATCAAGGGCACCGCAACGAAGTCCGTGAGGCAGCCCCTGTTGGCGGACAAGCCCGTGGATCGGATTACCTCCAGCTCCGCAGCGGAGGCGTCGTCCGATGACGACGACGACGAGGATGACCATGAATCCGAAGCGCTTTTCTGGGAGCTAATGGGGGCTTTGAGGGACCTCCCGAGGCCTATGTGGTGCATTCTCCTCGTTACCGCGCTCACGTGGATCGCCTGGTTCCCGTTCCTCCTTTTCGACACGGACTGGATGGGCCGTGAAGTCTACGGCGGTGAGCCGTCAGATCCGCTGAAAAGCGTATGGTACTACGATGGCGTGCACATGGGATCTCTGGGGCTGTTGCTGAACTCCGTCGTGCTGGGTTTGTCGTCGCTTGCTATTGATTTTGTGTGTAGGAAGCTGGGATCCAGCTACGTCTGGGGAATCGCCAATATGATTATGGCGGCCTGCTTCGGGGGAACCGGATTGGTCACCCTGGCCGCTTCTCGGGCAGCAGCTCTCGCGCCCAGTGCGGGCCCACCGACTTATGTGATCTACTCCGCGCTGGCGATTTTCTCGATTTTGGGCATCCCCCTCGCAGTGACATACTCGGTGCCGTATTCACTCACTGCAACGTACACTGAGAAAGTTGGTGGTGGCCAAGGATTGTCTGTGGGATTGCTGAACCTCGCAGTCGTCGCACCCCAAATGGTTGTGTCGGTGGGGAGTGGGCCTTGGGACGAGCTCTTTGGCGGGGGCAACATGCCGGCCTTTTTGTTTGGAGCTGTGGCTGCTTTTATCGGTGGCATCGCAGCCGTGCTTCTCCTACCTCGCCCTCCGCCCGATTTTACCACCAGGAACCGGCTTCGCAGGACTCACAGTTCCCCTATTCCTTGAACTTGTAGAGTTTATCGTTCCTTTGAATTGTAGTGCCTTCGTTTTCCTGTAGAAGGTCATAAATTATGGCAGGTTGCAGTGATTTTTAGACTTCGAATTTTATGAATCAGTCTGTGATAAGGTCTTCGATCTGCCAGAGTGTTGATTGGTATATTGTGTATGATAAAGTAGGTGATGTTCACATGTGATATGGTGGTTAAGGGAGCAACTAAGTCGCAGTGCTGCTGAAACCCAAATCTTAGAGTTTTGTTCGAAGTCTATCGGTTCAAATTCAAATGGACTAAATACCGTGCTGCAATCAATGCTAGGTCGGTTTTTTTTCGTATGCTGAAAATAGAATTATCCTGTTTTAAAATTGTTAACTACTAACTGACAGTTCAATGAAAACGCCCATTTCCGCAACTATATATACATTGAACACCTTGACGAAATATTGTGGATAATATTGTTTACATACGTAGTTTAAATCTTCATGATATTTACATTCTGGTTGGCGCGCAATAGATTGCAATCATGTCACTTTTTCACTCTTTCTTGTAAGTAGTTAATTTCGTTTTTTAGATAGAGTTGCAACTGTGAAAATATATTTATTTATATATATATATATATATATATATATATCTTAAACAAATGAGGGGCTACTCGGTTACAACTCGCAAAATCATAGCACAAACCATGTATGACAGAAAAGAGATTTTCTCACTAAAAGAAACGAAGCTAGACGTAACAAATGCCATGTGAATATACACGATCCGCATGAACTCTCGCTTCTACTTGTAAAACGAGTGTGCATTAATTTTTGACAAATCCAGCTGCAACTCAAGACCTTGCGTGGCGCATGAGTAGTTCGTGGAGTATTCATGTGATGAAGTCCATCTATTCCTTCGGGTACTCTTGATCATTGAAGATGTTCCACATGTCTGCTGCAACATTTTAAATCAAGGTAAGACACTGAAATAGATAATTCTGTGACATGAAAATGATTGACGCCAACAGCATCCATTGCGGCTCTATGGTTCTTACAAGACACTCACAAATGAAGCAACAGAAGTCCCCAATGCAGTAGGCTAGACAATTACCTCGGTTGCATCACCGACATCACTTGGGGCCATCGAACCAAGACTGATAATAAATCTGCTTTACTGCACGGGCACTACCTCCGCAGACGTAAGCATCTGAGTTCCTCGCCATCACTTCGTAACTGCGGCGATTCCACAGAACGAGCGGTTCTATGCTATCAGAGTGTAGAGGAGCTAGTGCATTTGTCTCAGATTGACTTGTAAGAGTGCATCGCTGCCCCCCTTCTACGAGGACATCCTGATGGGTTCCTATATCGCATTCTTCTCCAAATGAGCTACTACTAACCCTCTAACCTAATTTCAATAAATATATAATGACCGAGTGGTCTTCCTAAGAAGAAATGATCAATACAGGTAGCATGAGGACACTTGCAAGCCCAAGTTGGCCTTCGAGACAACATCCGAGCTCTCGCATTCGATTGCGCATATCAGTGCTGATCGACGCATACTGCGTGGTTTCTTCGGAGCTGGAGGGCAAAAATCAATGTCCACGTCGGGAATTCTATGCTCCTCGGATTTGGGTGTCTCACAACCCGATTCCTCTGAATTGAACGCGTCTTCTCCCCCGCTCAAGAAGCTCAAATCCAATGTCAGACTGCTCTTCGTACGCGATGCATTCTGATGGCTCGTGTGAGAAGTTCCACCAACCGTCAATCTCTTGCTGGCTGCGCGCGAGGGGCGAAGAGAAATGAGAGTTCCTTTCAATCGCATTGACTCAACAGACCCTTGATCCGATTGCGTAAACAACATAGTAGGTGCCATTGATGAATCAAACGTGCCACTGCCCTGCTTGAGACGCTCCCAACTGTTAGAACAACACCCGCTCCAACACCTTGCTCGCAACTTTTGCTGATCCCCGTAGAACCTCCAACTGAAGTAGTCTCCAATACTTCTCAAGCGAGCTCTTAAATTTCCCGTCGACAGGATGCAAGTGCAATACCCTTTGCTGAGATCTAGAGAAGATCTCACGATACAAAACTTGCCAACATAGACTTCAACAAGAAGCGAATGGAAACTCGTGAGCTGGAATCCAGCTTGCAAGCGAGTACCATGTTGTCGTGGCTGGCAAGCAACGACGAAGAAGCCCTGACCCACTTGGAAGCTTGCGTGTGAAGCAAATGCCAACGCGAAGAAGGCGAAGATGGAGATGAAGAATGGAGGGCGTGGGTGAGTACGTGCATGCTAGAGCAAGAGAGAAAGAGAGTGAGTGAGAGAGAAGAGATCGAGAGCAGAGCAGAGCAGAGTTTTTATGGAGGTAATAAGGCCATGGAACAGGGAGGGGGTTTGGGAGAGGAACGATTCTCCCCCTGGCAGGAATTTTATTACGAGCACGCGTGTATCCACCGGAACGTCAGGGACGCGTCGCTCGCGACGCCAGCGCCTGATTGCCTGCCTGCCTGCCGTGCCCGACTCCCACCATGTTGGACCTTGTCACACCCACACTGCCAGAAAAACACCAAACTCACGCGAAACCAAAGTAAAAAGGAAACAGTCAGTCACGCTATTGTTGCAGATTTGCGATGGAGTCTGATCTGGATCCTACGAAAGAAGCACTTGAATGGGATGAAATCCGCCCTAATCATTGAACAAAAAGTAAATAAAATCCATCATATGCTACCCATCTGTTTCAAGCACACACTCTTGCACAAATTTTCAGTTTTTGGGCTTATGAAGGTGAACTCCTCGTTGCTCATTGTTTGTGCATGGGTGAACTTTGTTGTGGTCACCTGAGAACAACCTCATGTGTTTTGTAAATTGAACATGTGTCCTTTTGTTGTCGATTATTTCGTCACAGGGAGACACTTTTCGTTCGCTATTTTCAAATGATTTTGCTGTTAATTTTGAAAAAAAATTGTTAGAAAATTACATCGCACATTGAGCTTTGGTGGGATGGCTAAAGACGTTATACAAGAAAACCAGTTTTAGGTTTATTTTATAGTGTGTGTATATATATATATATATAGAATCATTATGAACAGATTTAATGGACAAAGATTGATGTTTTCCAGTATTGCCTTGGCTAATGTCAATAAGTCATGTGTCTCAACTTTACACCATATACAAAACATATGATTTATTCACTTAATACTTTCCAATAATATTTTCTTTTAGATATGAATCATTAAACCATTGTTGTAAAGGAAAAATTTAAGTGTGTTATCTGCAATGATTTTAGGACCTAAAAATGAACATGATGTTTATGTGCAAATATTTAGAGGACAAAGAATTTCCCTCTCTCACTCTCACTCTGTCTTTACATACATACATGTACATGTGTATATACATATACAAACCACATAAACTTTTTTTGCATTCACTACTCTCTTGCGAATCTTTAATAATGTTATCTGAATCACCAAAACATGATTGAGTTTTTAAAAATTCATCACAACTATAAAACAAAAAAACAAAAAAGCAAATGGTACATACAAACACACTACTATATATATATATATATATATATATATACAATTATTTATTTATTCATTTTTTGTGTCTGGTTGCAAAATGTAACTGTTTCCATTGTGTTTCATTTTTATACATAAAAATAAATATATAAAGTCTTATTAAAACCATTATCCATTTTGAGGTAATTATAGTTTCCAAAAAGGTAAAATTTTGGTTTCACTTTCATCAATGACAGCTTTTATGTTTTCAGCACAAAATTGAGTATTAATCATCTATGATGTTAAACTAAAAAGTAAGTAAAATGTCTTAGTTTACATGATCAACATCAAAAATGAAAGTTGAAGTAGAACCTCATTTGTACTCAAATGTGAGCCTGGTGAAAAAGCAAGCAATACTATGTTGTTTTGCTTTTTAGGGAGATTATTTGAATTCATTACAAAGTTTTAAAAACAGTGTTATTAAAAACAAGGATTGTAGGATTCAGGGGTCAAATGTGGCAGTTTGCTCCAAAATGCTGCTTCTAGCAACAACCAAGCATCCTGTGAATGTAAAACTTGAAACAAAAGATATTTTATTTTAATTTATCTTGATCCAGAGAGTTTCAGTTTAATGGAGATTTGAAAGCCCATTGGTGAAAGCCAGTACAATCTCTTTTTTAGAAGGAAAAAATAAAAAATAAAAAAAATGCATTCAATTTCAGTGGACAAAAGGAGTATTGTATCATCAATTGGACAATGAATAGAATAAACTTCCTGTTGTGTCTGTCCACCCACCAACCCACCCAGACTTTGTGTGGAGACAACAACATGGCAAAAGGACCACAAGCTTCTGAGTCTTAGTATTTCCTTCCTTCACATCATTCACTCCCCTTCTGCCATATGACCACATTGAGAGGAAGGAACACACATGGATGAAAATATACATATGAACAACAACATCCACCACACCCACACTAGCAAAGCATTGAGAGCATTGAGCTTCACCACCACCTTACTGAAAATAACCACCACTTGAATGGACATGCTTCATGGCCCCATTGAGGCCTTGTGGGTCATGGCACCACTTTCTTAAAGACTGAACCCCCCATAAGTTGGATCCATTTGTGAAAGAAGGGGCACAGTGCCAAAACAGCATTCAATTCAAAAGGCAACTTCATAGAAGTTGAATAGACAAGCACAGAATCTGGAGTCACTCTTTCCCCCCTTCCTCCCTCCTCATCCAAAACAAAGAAAATCAAACAAGAACCCATTAGTACCACTCCCAGCAATAATCATGTATGCCTACACAAAAAGAAGATCCTTGCATGATTTACTACCCAATATGTGCAGCAGAAACTTGAGACATTTTCCACATTCTAACACTTTCTCTCTAAGCTATAGGTGGGGCTGTGATTGAACCCCTAAGAGGAGGAGCATCAGCATACAAAAGGGGGGCGGAGGTAACTGGAAATTGCCATCAGCTTTGAGATCTGAGATGTGCACTTGAATTCAAGTGCATTCCAAACTTGAATGTTTGAATTGGGAAAATAAAGAAGGAAAGATGCCATGAGAGGAAGAGGAAGAGAAAGGGAGAAGGGGAACATGGCCCTGATTTGACTCCATATTAAGGTCCTTTCCATTATAAGTTGGTGGGGAGAAGTTTAAGGAGTTAAATGAGGAGCCTCTCTTCAAACAAAAAAAAGGTGTTTGGGAGGGAAATTTGGAACGTTGTTGCTTCCCATGAGCCCACCAAATTTCCCTCCCTAACTCACTCCCTACTACTACTGCTGCTACCTCCCTCCACATCTTGACGGATCATGATATTGTAGCCCAAATTGGCTGCCAATGGCTTCTGCTTTTCATGGCCTACGACTACTGCATGTCCAAAGATAAACAACTTCAAAGTGACGGATGTCTGAAAAGGTTAACATTTGTGCACAATGGGAGGCCGCGTTGGATGATTGAAGTGGATGGAGCGGCGGTGATGTGCTCCAATCAGCTCGTGGTGGTCGTGGGACAGTTCGGAGGGGGGGGGGGGAGTCCGGCGCCGGGAACATGGGCTCGTGTCCCGTGTTCCCGCGCTTGCACGCGTGACTGCAATGATATCTCTTTTCGTGGGGGCGAGTCGCGTATACCCCCACCGGAGGGATTGATGCGCGCTTAAAACTCTTCCTAACGATCTTCCTTTTCTTTGAGCTCCCGCTTCTTCACCTGGGCTTTGCTCCTCATATTTGTTTCACAAATGTTTCACTTCGTGAAGCGTCGCTTGTGAGCTGGATTTCACTTCGGTAGGCATGGAAAGACGCACTCGGTGTGCCAGCTCAGAAGAAAAATTTCGCGTGGTTGAGTTTCCGCTGCTTCTTTGCTGAACCATTTGAGATACAATTAGCTGGACTTGAGAGATATAGTTTGGTTTATGTTCTGAGAGCTGGGTTGGAAGGATTGAATGTAGCTTTCTTCTTCTTTTGTTGGAGGCGTGATCTGTACTGTTTGCGAGTGTGTAATAGTGTTCCTGAAGCTGGAAAGTGCGAAGGTTTTTATGTTGTGTAGCTGGAGGTGCGCTGCATTTCGATTCTCCTAGGTTTGGAGACTAGCGAAAGCATAGCTTGGAGATTTGTGTTGTTATAGTTGTTGGAGATTTCTCGAGTGGGGCATTCTCTCGCGCCGAATTCAGCAATGACACCCACTATGTTGTTCTCGCATTCCATTGAGGAGCCCATGCAGTCGATGGGATTGAAAGAAGGTGATCTTGTCCCAGTGGGCAATTGTGATTATCTGCCTAAATCACAGGCGGTGCGCACAGCGAGCAGCAATCTGATGATGCGAGAAGGTTCCGGCACCAAGACCACAGGCGCGCTGCATGTAAACACCAGTCTGTCGCTAGATTTGAGCTCAATCAGGAGGGAAGCAGATGCAGAAGAACAACAAGAAGAAGAAGATAGAGAAGAAGAGTTCAACGCAGGGGATCCGGATTGCGAGACACCGAAATCAAACCAATGCAGAATCCCTGATGTGGACATTGATTCCTGTCCCCAAGCTCCGAAGAAGTCCCGTGGCACGAGTCGATTGGCACTGCTTGGCACAATCGAATGCGAGAACTGTCGCCCTATGTCCAAGGCCGATCTGCGCTTGCAATTGTCACCTTGCTACCTATTTTAAACGTGGATTTCCATTAGAAAGAGAACTCAGTCAGTCTACTTTTTGAAGTCCAGTTGAAATCTTAGAAACAATTTTATCTAGGAGAAGAATTCGAAGAATGTAGCCCAGCAGGATGACCTTGACCCACGGGAATCATTCTATTCGCATGCCTCAAGTTGAATCAAGAACGCAAACCGCGACTTGAGCCACTGCCGCGCACTGAAATCACACAACATCACTCGCTCTGCACCTCCCTACTGGTGTACTGTCGGAACGACGGAGAAGAATGGGACTGCTCGCACACCCACAGAACAAGACGCCGGTGCAGTGACGCTGCAGCGAGAGGCATGCCGTCCACAGCATTGGTTCGATTGCCCCAAATGACATGGGTAACGCAATCGAGGTAATCACGGATTCTAGAATGCATGAGAGGTTGCTACATCTTCTTCATTCTTCTGCTCATTCGCAACGCAGCGGGAGCAGTCTGTAGCAGAGCCAATGCCGGTGCCCTGTGTGAATGGGTTTCCACCTATGTGTTCCAACGCATGTTGTGAGTCTTTGATTTTTCAATTACTTTATTTTCTTTTCTTTTATAAATTTTCATTCACTGCAATCGTGTTGGATTGCTGATACAGTTGAGAAACAAAAGATTGTTATGATGTCTACTATTACAGCCCAATTTATGGTGTTTCACCTTTTCCAACAATGACATGGACAACTAGACTAACGTTTTAATCTGAATCAAAATTTACTACATATGAGAATAAATAATTTTTGTTTTTGTTTTATGAAGATGATTCATAGGAATATTCAATCTAGTTTAAAATCAACTTTGCATGTATACTTTTTGTAATGTATAACAAAGTATTAAGACCTTAAGCCTAAACAATATGATAAATTTAAGTGACTTTTGCAAAACAATGCAACTTATTTATTTATTTATTTATATATACTTACTTTGTGGTTAATACATACAAAACTTTGCAACATATATATGTATATATATATATATATATATATATATTATTGATTATAACTTATATTTTGGCAATGTAATAACTTAGTCAATTTTTAAAGTACTTATAGTCAAATTATAAGAAATTGAAGTATATTTGTTTTCTAAATTATTCAACTTTTACTTGATAGAATATTTTGAAAAGTATCTTATTCACATTTACAATACATATAAGAAAAATTTAAAGTGATTCAATTTTTTATTAAATCAATTCATCATGGATGAAGAATTATTGCACCTTTATCTATATTTCCCTTGTTTCCATATTCCTAGCCTCAATCCATGTTCTCAACTCCTCTTCTATGTCCTGATCTCTCTTCTTCCATCTTGCTTCCTTAAGAACTAGCTGATGTTTATGCACTTGTAGCCAAGGTCCTCTCTTTCTTGTTGAAGAATAGACTAGGTAGCATCATATCTTTAATGGACTCTTATATAAGTTGTATAATTTTTGTAGTTTCAAGAAATGATTCTTCTGAGCAAGAAACTTATATACAAGATAGATGTTGGAGCTAATTTCTAAAAGAGTTGAGTATTCAATGCCCTACAAGGGCTTTCAACATTCAAATCAAATATAAATAAAATAAAAAATAAAATATGTAAAATTTTAATATGCTATTAATATGCAAGCAACACAAGTTATAAAATTCTACAGAGTATTATAAAGCAACTACAATTAATAATTTCAAATATGACAATAGGTTTAGTTTCTAAAATTCATAGTAATAGAAATAGGATGTATTCTATTGAAGACCGAGATTGTTTTGGAATGTCAATAGGTGTAAAAGATATAAATCTCAAAGAAAGAAAATCCTCATTACAGTCTTGTGTCACTGAAAGGAACTAGAAAGTCACTCAAAGATGATATAATATTGAACTAAAATGGCTATTGCCAAAAACAAGAAGACTGGAAAGTCTTGAAATAAGACTAATGATTAAAAAGGCATTGAGAAGAATGAAGAAGGCTTCACTCTTGTCTCTATATATACTCTTAACTAGGAATTATATAGTGATGTCCTATAGGACCTCCAAAATGTGTTGACTTTGCAAAACACATATCTTAAGTTGCAAGGTAAGTTTCTTATATGTGTACCACATAGTTAATTTGTTCCACAAGCTATCAACATGTGATTAACTTATTGACGAAGTTTCTAACCTATCAATCAATTATAAATATATGTAAAGTCAAAACAACATCTATGAAGCTTCTAAAAAGTTTTTCTAGAATGTATTATAAAATTAATCTACTTTTATTTATTTCTACCTAATCACATAGGTATTTATTAAAGTACCTATGTATATCCGTAATATTACCCTCCTTTCTAGGGCCAAGTTCCACAAGGAATGGTCTTCATATATTAAAATCTAAAATACAACAAATTATATTTGTGACATACTTTGAACTTTGTCCCATTTAAAGATGGTTGATAGGTCCTCTCAACCATCAATAGTATCTCATATCAAGGTAAGAAGACCACCTTGTTATTTGATTGTTGTTGAAGCGTTCGTAACTTCCTTCAAATAAAACATTTGGAACACCATCATGAGTTACTCCTATCTCTAATACAATCACCAAACATCGGTTGTAATATCAAACACATTTTATTTTGCCATCTATTCGAAGAAAGACATGTTGTTCTTGAAGATCTTTATCTTGATTTTGTCATCTTGAAGGTTGTAATAATTACAATGTTTCATCTCGTAAGTCTGCAAATGAAAGCTCTAGAGTTGAATTTACTAATTGTTGGTTCTCCATCTCCTTAGCTTCATAAATACACTCAAGCTACAAAATAAGATAGAAGGTAGAATGTTATCTTTCTTTGATCTTCTTTCTTTTATAGCAAAGATTTATTATTCTTCACCTTCATTTTGATGGATGTCGTCAATGAAAAGCTTCAACTCTCTTTGCTGCATTTGCAAGATTCTTTGCTCGCTTCCATGTGCATTCACTAATGAATAAGATATTTCAACCTATTTTGGCATTGTCTTGAATCTAAGACTTCTTCCACTTCAAAATTTTGACTATTATCTACTTCTTTAAAAGAGGGTGGCGTTTGTCTTCTTCTCCAAATATTCATTGTCTTATATGGCTTAAGAAGAGACACGTGAAATACACGATGGATCTTCATAGATTTTGGTAGATGTAATCAATAAGCAATAAGATTGATTTGTTCATAAATAGAAAAAGGTCTCAGCCTACAATAGTCCAACTTATCACAAGGATGAGTAGTCTTGATATTACAATGAAGTAACCATACCTTATTATCCACATTGAATTGTAGTTACTCCTTATGATAAGCATCAACATTAGTCTTTTGTCATTCTTGATCTTTCTTTAATTATGTCTTTATTGTTGCATATAGCTTTGATAAATGATTTGCTAAATCTTCTGCCACAGGATTATCAACTTTTGAAAAGTCAAAAGTATCAAGTCGTAGATGATAACCATAATTGGAAAAAAATATATATTTGTTGAATAGAAGAATGTACTGAATTATTGTATGTAAACTTTGCCAATGGCAAAAGAGTTGTCCAATCATCTTGATGCTAGTTGATGGTACATCTCAAATACTGCTCTAAAACTTAATTCATCCATTCTATTTGCCTATCAGTTTGAAGTTGAAAAGTCAAAGAGAGCTTTATATCTACCTTCAAA